AGAGACAGGGTTTCCCTTTGTTGCCCAGGCGGAAGTTCAGTGGCACGATCATGGCTCGCTGCAGCCTTGAACTCTTGGGCTTGAGGGATCCTCCAGACTCAGCTTCTTAAGTAGCTGGGACTACAGATGTGCACCATGGTTCCTGACTTCTACCTATTTTCATGGGACAAACTACAGTTCACTCTGATGAATATGGCCATTCAGAAGTGACTGGAGTATGCATGCTATGGAAGTTGAAATTTTTATTGTTAACCTAAAATTAATTCCACTTTCTTTCAACATGGATTCTTAGCGTTATGTTAGTTAGACTTTACCTAGGTTCTTTTTTTTAAACTTTATTTTCTCTTACAAAATTAATATATGTTCATATTAGAAACTTTATGAAATATAGAAAAAGAAAACATAAAAATCGCTCTGGCATATCTCCTAATCTTTACTCGTCCCTTAAATCCTTCTAAACTAAAAAATGAAAAAAAAAAAAAATTTAACCTGCAAGATTGTGCTCCATGTGCATGTGTGTGCATAAGAGGAAGGACAGGTTTTGGAGAAAGGCCCTTTGTGATTCACTGGGCTTGAAGAACTATATCAAGATATTTGACAAGTTTAAATTATGGTTGGGTTCCCACAATACTGACCTCTGGATCCCTGATCTTTTCCAGCGTTTAGAGAAACCATTCGCTGGCTATTGCTGGGGAGAGAGAGAAACCCAAGCTGTGGATATGGCAGGTCAAAGCTATTCAATTCATCTCTAAATCTTTACAAATCCATGAATTTCCATGAAGTCATCATTTACTCTAAACTTATCCATTGCTTTTTGTAAAGGAGAGGAACGAACCTTGCTTTGGTTAAACATCAGCTCCTATGAAACCAAGCGTTGAAAGGGGGCAGAGTCCATAATTGATTTTCTGACAGGTTATAAAATATTAAAAGATGGGAAAGTTTTAAAACTAATTTTTAGGTATCCGTCTGAAGCCATGTCCAGTTGGCCCACAGGATCAATGAAACAACATTATAGAGAAATGCTGAACTCATACTCTCCTGGTTAATCTATATTTCAAAGATGAGATTGAGCTCTTAAATGACCTACATGCAGACGGAGCCGATTCCCAGTTTAAACCTCCCATTTGGAACCTTGGTTGCAAAGATTAACTATTTCAAGGCAACGAAAGTCAACACACCCCTGCAGTCTTAGCATGGTAAGAAGGTGGGAGAGAATTCAGACAAACCGTGGAAAACAGGGCAAGTAAAGACCCACAGGGTCTTAATGACGATTTAACGTCAACTTCTTGGGATGAATTTTGGCTTTTTATTTTAGATATTCTAGTGTACCTCTTGCTTTGCAGGAGACATGGGGCACAGCCTTTATCTATTCCTGCAGGTCCCCTCAAGCATAGTATCTAGCCCATTTGACCTGACTGCTAAAATAAAATTATATATGCTGAGTGGCTTATATACAACAGAAATTTATTTCTCACAGTTCCCACAGACCTTGAAGTCCACAATGAAGGCAGATTGAGTGTCTGGTGAGGACTTGCTTATGGCTTCTGGGTGGGACCTTCTTGCCATGTCCTCGCATGGAAAAGGAACACTCTGGTTGCTTCGGCCACTTGTAAGGGCTCTAATCCCATTCTTGAGGGGTCCACCTTCATGATCAAATCACCTCCCCAAACCTCATCTAATACCATTACACTGGGGAGTAGTTTTCAACACATGAATTTTGCCGGAATATGTTCAGTCCGTAGCAGGTGGCATTATGGAAATTTGTCTGACCTTATGTGCAAATGAAGTCTGTCCTCATAAGGGTGGGAGTGTTTTTTAGTTTCTTTAGCTCCATCTCCACCAGGAAGTCTTACCTGAGGAGCACAGGAATTCAGGATGTAGCAGGGTTTCAGGCACAGGATATGAATCAGGGATGTGACCTTAGGGCTTCCAGTTCTGTCTTGACCGCTATCATCAAGTAGCCTTGAAGCAAAGGGGAAAATTCTGGACTGAGGTAAATTTGGATGGGGATTCCATCTAAGCATTTCTGGAAACTGTCTCTTCTTCTTCCCTCTCAGGCTGGGCCTCCCTAGAATGCATTCTACCTTGTCAATGTCCTGACCCTCTCAGAAGGTTCTCCAGTAGTTTCTAAACCAGCCTTCCCTGTAGTTTCTGGCCATTGCTCATTGACCTCTCCATGACTTTGGGGACTCCTCACACTTAGACCCAGTATTTAGATGCTCTTTCCTCCTCTTCCCATAACCCCCTACTTCTACTCCCTCATTTCATGCTCCCCTCTATCCCCATCCCCAGGACCATAAGCTCCTTGAAGGCAGGGATTGGACCTAGCTCATTTCTATTCCCAAAACCGAGTACCAGGCACCATGACCCTCTGACTATGTTTGGTCATTTATTTTCTTTTCTAGCTCCCTATCTAGAGTGTAAGCTTGGCAAAGGCAGATCTTGCCGGATTTGTTCACCTCTCTCTCCCGGGGTCTAGAAGAGTGCCTAGCGCACAGTAGGTCCTCAGCACACACTTGCTGATGAAAGGACAGGTCAGCTGAGGCACAATGCACAGCAGATGTGTGGATGGGGTACTATGGGGATATAGTTCCAGAAGCTATTTGTTTTTAAAGGTTTGAAAGGAATGTTGAGAAAGACTTAGCTGAAGAGTTGGAATTGCATCTAAGCTTTAAAGGCTCATGAGCTTCTGTGGCTTAAAGGTGAGGAACTGCACAATAGCCAAGATTTGGAAGCAACCTAAGTGTCCATCAGCAGATGGAGAAAGAAAATGTGATACATGCAGAATGGAGTACTATTCAGCCATAAAAAAAGAATGAGATCCTGTCATTCGCAACAACTTGGACGGAACTGGAGGTCATTACGTTAAGTGAAAAAAGCCAGGCACAGAAAGACAATCATCACATGTTCTCACTTATTTGTGGGATTTAAAAATCAAATCAATTGAACCCATGGAGATTGAGAATGAAACATCCTTTCATCCCTTCCAGCTACTAGAGGCTGGAAAGGATAGAGGGGGGTTGAGGGGGAGGTGGGGATGGTTAATGGGTACATAAAATAGAATGAATAAGGCCTAGTATTTGATAGTACAACAGGGTGGCTATAGTCAATAATAATTTAATTGTACATTTAAAAATAACTAAAAGAGTATAATTGGATTGTTTATAACACAAAGTATAAATCCTTGAGGTGATGAATACCCCATTTACTCTGATGTGATTATTACACACTGCATGCCTGTATCAAAACATCTCACGTACCCCATAAATATATATACCTACTATGTACCCACAAAAATTAATTTTTACAAAGTGAGGAACTGGAGCCAAAGCAGGGGTGGAGACAGGGGTGTGGTCAGGGCAGAGGGGGCATGATCCCATTTGGGGCACAGACAGAGAAGGTGGAGGGGACTAGACCATTCAGTCGGAGACTGGGGTAGAGGGGGCTACCCAGGTGACTGAGGCCAGATGGTGAACGGTCTGGAGTATCCTAACAGGCATTGGGATTTTGTCCTCTAAAGCTGTTGAGGGTCTTAAAGAGAGGAGTGATAGTTCAGATCTCTTTACAGAAATGGTGTAGATGATGGAGAGGCTGTGGCAGGCAGCAGGCTGGTGGCAAGGAAGCCAAAGAGGAGGGTCTTGTTATGGGCCAGGGGGTGGGAGACAGCTAGATCTCACCTAGAGTCTCGTCATCCTGTCCTGGCACACAGGAGTGGCTCCACAACAAGTGGCTGAATGAATGGTGCTTAATGAGTGCTGAGGTTTCTATGAGTTTCTCTTAAACACATGTATTTAAGGTTAATTCAGTGCACATGAGGTCACTGGTTCTCAACATGGTGATTTTAGGTCAGGCACGGTGGCTCACGCCTGTAATCCCAGCACTTTGGGAGGCCGAGGCGGGCAGATCATGAGGTCAGGAGTTTGAGACCAGTCTAGCCAACATGGTGAAACCCTGTCTCTACTAAAAATACAAAAATTAGCCGGGCATGGTGGTATGTGCCTGTAATCCCAGCTACTCGGGAGCCTGAGGCAGGAGAATCTCCTGAACCTGGGATGTGGAGGTTGCAGTGAGTCGAGACCATGCCAGTGCATTCCAGCCTGGGCAATACAGCAAGACTCCATCTCAAAAAACAAAACAACAACAATAACAAGAATCCATGGTGATTTTGTCATCTAGGGCAACGTCTGGAGACATACATTTTTGGTTGTCACAGCTGGGGTGATGCTACTGGCATCTAATGGGTAGAGGCCAGGGAGGCTGCTACATACCCTGCAATGCACAGGACAGTCCCCCACAGCAGAGGACTGTTCAATCCAGGATGTTAATAGTACCAAGGGTGATACAATTAACGGACTAATTAATAGACTAGATGTGGGTCCCTGAAAATGTATGGTTTTACTTTGCTGCAGGCAAGATCTTCATCCAAGAGTGACTTCTTGAAGTCATTTAGACTCCAGAGAGCACTTTAGAGTTGGGGTGACAAACAGCCTGAGGTTCTGACCTCAGCAATTTTGACATTAACTGCATTAACTTGTTGCAATCAGGTGAGTGTCAACAGAAGGCACTATTTTTTTTTTTTTTTTTGAGACAGAGTCTTGCTCTGTTGCCCAGGCTGGAGTGCAGTGGCATGATCTCGACTCACCACAACCTCTGCCTCCCAGTTCAAGCAATTCTCCAGCCTCAGCCTCCCGAGTAGCTGGGATTACAGGTGTAGGCTACTAAGCCCAGCTAGTTTTTTGTATTTTTAGTAGAGATGAGGTTTCATCATGTTGGCCAGGCTGGTCTGGAACTCCTGACCTCAAGTGATCCGCCCACCTTGGCCTCCCAAAGTGCTGGGATTACAGGCATGAGCCACCACTCCTGGTTGGCACTATTAAAGCGAGAATACCCAGAAGCCACAAGCATTGTGCTGGTCACAGGGTGGCCCTCCAGAAATGCCATTCCTGTCCCTCTTTCCTTTTAATAACTTGCCCTGATATTTCTTCTGATTCCAATCCCAGTTTGTCCAGGAAGCACTTCCTCAGATCCATCAGAGCAAGGATCTTTGTTTTGCATACTGTTACATCCTCAGCACCCAGAACAGAGCTTGGCACAAAGCAGATGCTCAATACATATTTGCTGAATGCCTGAGTGAATGAATGAATGAAACAAATCCCAGTTCCCAGTAACCAGAGATGTCGCTATGGTAAGCTCTGTGAAGGTTTGCATTTTCCTGTGATGGACATATGATGAATGTTTCACGAGCAAGCTGATAGGAAAAAAAAAAAAAAAAAAAAAATCCATGAACTGCAGAGGCCAATTTTTCTCTTAATAGGAGGCAAGTTGCAGAGGCCTGTGTGGCTCCAAATTCTTACACATGTGAAGGAAAGATTTTCCAGGCTGATTTTGTTCACTCACTCTCTCCACTCTCATGCAGACCCCTCTACAGGGAAGGTGGCCTGTCAGTCCAGGATTTTTCTGCTCTGAGTCTACAAGGTCCTATCAGAGCTGCTAGTCCCATAATCAAATTTTAATGACTGTCTGCTTCCCTTCCTAGATGTTTATAGTCCTCTGCACTCTGATTAGATTTTTGGTCCCGCAAGATAGTTAAAAGCCCACAATTTGCGCTGGTGTTTTATTTTTTCTGAGTTAAGTGAGTGGGTAAATGTTCCTTTGATCTTCCCGACGTGGATGAGGGCTGTTTGTGTTTTTAAGGCCCTCACCAATTATAGGAAATGGTCTCAGGGCTAGGTTGGAGGCTGGCCTTCTGGGTGGTTCAAATGTCCCTCAAAGGTTTTTATTCTTTCTCCTCCCCTCTCCCCTACACCCCAGGTGCTGAAGAACAGAGGAAAAGTCAGCAGCAAGAAACTCTGGGAAGAAAAATGAACTGGATGGTATAGGCCAATGGGGGTGAGATTTCTGAGCCAGTGTTCCAGGAGGTCAGAACCGTTTCTCTCCGCAGGGTTTCCCTCACCTTTGATGGGGCTTGTTGCCAGTGGTGGGGGGAGATTGAAGCTACTTGTGGCACCCAGGTTAAATCACCATCCCCATGGAGTTCGATAAGTACCTCTGCGGGAAGACTGACCAGGAGGAGACAGACCATCTCCTGGGCTGGATTTGCAGCTGAAACCAGTAACCAGCAGACCTCTGTCATTGCACTTATTCCAGCACTTATGTGTGCAGAGGAATGAGGAACTGTGATCCCAGGAGAGAAGGCAGAGGACCTCAAGAATCACGCGCAATACCTTGGGGCTTTCCAGGTGTGTCCGGATTGAAAGATGAACCCCATGCTGCCTGGTGACTTGTTTGTGGCACCTATACAACATCCTTCGTGTGCCACAGCGAAGTCACATGCAGTAGCACTTCATTATTTTAATTAAGCTTATTGCAAGAGTAATCATCATTGCCATCAGTATCAATCATCAGCAGTTTTCCCGATTATGGCCATAAGTGGTGACAGTCTATGTTGATAATAAACTATCACACCTCTAGCTTGAATTGACACTTCACTGGCCATTGTGAGGCTGTGCCAAACACTCCTGGGCTTGCTATATAAAGAACTATTTATCTGTGATAAAAGCTGAGTCTACCAGATATTTGTTTTCACTTCCCTAATGGATAAGTTCGTAATATTTGCAAAATTCATCCTTTAGTAGATGACAGGCACAGAGTCCAAAACACATTTAGAAAGAAGTTATATGCTCTTAGCTCAGGGCTGCGGCATCACAGCCATTCCCCAACCTGTCCTAAACGTGTATTCGTTGAGTTATGGCTCTTTCTTCCAAATGGACATGGGAAATGAAGTTGTTTCGATCACAAAATGGCTCTTGGCTGTTTCCTATTTCTGAGCGAAAGCAGGAGGAAAAGAACCTGAAGGACAACAGCCTCACTCCCTTTATAACTGGCCCTTTCTGGCATCTGACACGATTGAAATTCTTCAACATTTAAATAAGACGTCTCCTGAACAACAATAACCTAGTTGCTTATTATTCTTGTTACTGCACTTCCATGGTTTAAAGCACTCCCTGGTCTCAGCCATTTGTGCTACAAATAATTTTAATTGAGCCGAGAAACCCTTGACATTTTAGAAATTACCTTCTATTTATAAGACTTTAAGAAGGACCCTTCCTGGCAGTCCTGACCTCTGTGTGATTTGGCCTTTTTTCCCGACTTTGAGTTTAGTTTTTTATTTTCATTGAACCAAATTACTTTCATTCCTAATTTAATTTTGCAGTAGCAAATAAAAAGCCAATTTGATATCCATACAATCCCACACCAGCTATGAAATACCCAGGCTCCTTCAACTTACACACGTCAGAAACCTGCTCATCTGAAGTCAGTTCTGTTAAGGTCGATGAAATGAGTTCTGGGAAGCTGAATGAACAGTGCCATTTGGGATGAGAGTCTAGAAACAGGCTCTGTCAGATCCTAAAATATCCTTTGAGGCTCACAACAGTTTTCCAACTGAAAATTTTTATTGTTGTCATTTGCTTTTTCCAAATATCACAAATTCGATTCTACTGGTGTAGACTTTGGTATATCGAGGAAACTTCGTTTTCATATGAATAACCAAACATTGTACATTTGTACAGGACCTTCATATTCATTGTCTTTGATCTTCAAAATAACTCATTCATTTGGTTCATGTTTATAGACCACCTACTATGTTCCAGGAACAACTCTAGGCATTTTGGATGTAGCAATGAAAAAAAAATCTCAGGGAACTTACATTTTAGGGGGAGACAGATAATAAACAAATAAAGAAGACATTGTTTGGTATTATGTGTGGAATGGTGTTAACTGCAATGTAATATAAAACAAAAACTAAGCAAGAAAGAGGGATAAAAACTGCCAAGGTGAAAAGACTTTAAGGTAAGATGACATTTGTGTCAAGACCTGGAGGAACTAAGTACAGAAGCAACCTTTCAGGTTGGAAGAACAGCAAGTGCAAAGGCCCTGAGGCAGAAACAGAAAGAAGACCTCCGGGCTTCGAGTGGAGTGAGCAAGGGACCATGGGTGGTAAGAGGTGTGACTGAAGCAGCAGCAGGCAGGCTCTCGTGTGGGACCATGAATGCCAGTGTCAGGACCTGGCTTTTACCCTGAGTGAGCTGAGAGCTCTGGAAGGGCTGGTTTTTGTTTGTTTGGTGTTGGTTTTTTTTGCGACGGAGTCTGGCTCTGTCGCCCAGGCTGGAGTGCAGTGGCACAGTCTCTGCTCACTGCAACCTCCGCCTAGTTCAAGTGATTCTCCTGCCTCAGCCTCTCGAGTTCTGGGATTACAGGCGCCCACCACCATGCCTGGCTAATTTTTGTATTTTTAGTAGAGACGGGGTTTCACCATGTTGGCCAGGCTGGTCTCCAACTCCTGACCTCAAGCGATCTGCCTGCCTCTGCCTCCTAAAGTGCTGGGATTACTGGCGTTGAGCCACCGTGCCTGGCCTCTCTGGAGTGCTTCGAGGAGGAATGTGGTGGTCTGCCTTAAGTATGAAAGAGCCGGTCTTATGCTGGGAAGAGGGCACAGGCAGACGCAGGGGGATCAGTTAGGTGGCCATTGCATTTGTCAAGGAAAAGATGATGGTGGCTCAGACCCAGAGAGATTGCAAGTGAGGGGCTGCCAAGGCAATCTGTTTCTGGACATTGAAATTAATTAAGAAAAATTTTGTTTAGTCTCATTTTAAGGTAAGAAAACTCAGCCTCAGAACTGACTTGCTCAAGAATATAGAGCAATTGTGTGACACAGTTGGGTCTGAAACCAGACATCTTGGTGGGAGTCCTTCCACAGCACCCTGTGGAGACCACCTGCCCACTGAATAGAGCCCAAATATCCATCTCAGAGTTTCTGCCTCAGAACCTTGGTTATGTTCTCATTAACATAATAAATAAGGAACCAGGAAGAGCAAGGGCACCCCAGTCCCCAGGATACTGGTACAACTAATGCTACCTGACAAGTAGCAGGCTGGAGCCTAATGAATGGCTGTGAGGAGGAGGAGAAGAAACATTTGCTTCTGGGGAGGAGGGGAGCTCATTAGTGGCCTAGCTGCTCAGCTGGCTCAGGTTCTTGTTCCAAGCAGACCCCTGCACTGCTGGATGTCTTTCTGGAAACAAACAACCCTACCGTAGCTCTGGGGTTCCATGGCTTTTTGTTTTTTAATTCAACTGAGGTGAAATTCACATGACATAAAACCAGTTTAATTTTAAGTGGACCATTCAGTGGCATTTAGTGCATTCACAGTGGTGTGCAACCATCACCTCTGTCTAGTTCCAAAACATTTAATCAACCCAAAAGGAAACTGCATACCCATTAAGCTGTCACTCCTCATTCCCCTATCCCCACCCAGGCCCCAGGCAACCACTGATCTACTTTCTGTCTCTCTGGATTTATTTATTCTGGATAGCCCCTATAAATGGAATCATGTAATATGTGACCTTTTCGTATCTGACTTCTTTCACTTAGCTTAATGTTTTTGAGGTTCATCATGTTGTAGCCTGTGTCGGTGGTTCATTCCATTTTATTCCTGAGTAATATTCTATTGTATGTATGCACCACCAGCGTTTATCCATTTATCCAACTGTGGGCATTTGAACTGTCTCCACCTTGCAATTGTGAATAATGCTGCTATGAACACGTATGTCCATGCACTTGAGTACTTGTTTTCAGTTTTTTGGAGTATATACCTGGGAGTGGAATTGCTGGGTCATACGGTAATTCTATATTTAACTTTTTGAGGAACTACCAAACTGTTTTCCACAGCAACTGAGTTGTTTACATTCCCACCATCAGTGTATAAGGATTCCAGTTTCTCCACATCCTAACACTGGCTATTTTCCTTTAAAAACAAAAGCATAGCCATCTATGGGTGTGCAGTGACATCCCACTGTGGTGTTGAGCTGCAGTTCCCTAACGTTAGCGGTGTTGAGCATCTTTTCATTTGCTTGTTGGTCATTTGTATATCTGCCTTGAAGAAATTATCTATTCAAGCTCTTTGCCCACTTTTAAATTGGGTGGTCTGTATTTTCATTGTTATTATAGAAGAGAAAGTACATACGGGGGGACAAAAAAACTCAGTCTCTAACATTAGAAGTCCAGCTGGATTAACCAGCGGAGTAGTAGTCTGAGCAGTGTTGCTGACGTTGGGAAAACTTCAATGTCGTTTTCATCCAGTAGTTACTTTCCCCACTACTAAATGAGTCTCCCTCATGTTTTCTTCATACTGGGCTACTTGGGAAGGAGGACAAAGCTTGGTACTAAGATAAGTCATTCAGGAAAGGAATTAAGTAAGGACAGGGAAAGAGAGAAGAGAGGAAGTCACTAGTGATCAATTTTAAGGAGCACATGGATGATGAAGTAATAGGAGGAAGCCCAGTGTGTTTGTATCAGTGTCTGTTTACTGTGGAAGATTTTTATGGGCAGAGATTTCCATCTGAAAGACAAACCAACAATAACAAAAATCAAACAGATGTGGGGTGGTTTTTTTGCTATTTTATAGGTTTTAAAGTGCTTTTACTTAATGACTCATTGAGTTGTTATAACAACCTTAAATACCACAAATGGAAGATAATGTTACCTCCAGTTTGCTTTCATGATAAGACAGAGTCACAGAGGTTAGGAAGTCTTATAGTTATGAGGTGGCAGAGGCAGGATTCAAACTCAATCCCCAACCCCATCTTCCACCACCATCTTGTATTTATTCACTGAAGGACCTTCCCATAATGCTCTCTTCCAATCATGTGCACAAATGGAGCTACTGGGGCAGAGCACTTGAAGCCTGCCACACTCTCCAGGAAGGCCTAGAGGTCCTACCTTTGGGCTTCCCATCTTTCCAGACCCGCTGTTAAACTCTAAAGTCTTGGAAGGCTCCTGTATTGTCAGCCCCACTTGTCTGTGTTTCCGGCCTGCTGTGAGGGTAGTATGGACAATGAGGTAGCAAGCCAGGGGAAGAGGGATACTGGAGTGAGGGAGGCCAATGAATATGCTGTGGGGAGCCTCCGTGACCTTTTGGACAAAATGGGAGTTCCTAGCCCTGCATTCATGTGAAAGTCGTTACCCGGGGCCCTAGCCAGGGCTTGCAGCCAGTGCAGTAGAAAAGTCAGAGATGCTCACATGCACATCCTGGTGATTCTCCCTCAAGAAAGTCCATTCTCCATCTTGGGAGACCACCTTAGAGAGGCACAGTGTACACCTTGTATTTGCTGCATGAACAAAATGCAATAAAACATCTTATCTAATTTTATTATTTTTATAATTATTGTTTTTCCAATCAGTTGGTGAAGGTTTTGGTAACAATAACAGGAGGTTATGAACTGTGGTTTCTTATCTGAGGACCAACACTGCTTCCAGGAAAAGACAAGAAATTTGAGGGCAGAAGTTCCACCACTAACTGATCTTATAGT